AAAGTTAACTGGATACCTCCATACATGTATATACACACCCTAACCCCATCCCAAACCCTAAACCTAACCCCAACCCCTAACCCTAACCCCTAACCCCTAACCCTTACTTATATTGGTGCGCGAAACATGGAACGATAACCGAAAATTGCGAAAGATTACCAAGAACTGGGAGAACTATTTCCCAAGCCACTCAAGCTATTCTTGCCACGGAAGGGAAGCATCTTACAGAGGTTGAGAGATCCCTTACAACGAGGATCGAGTCAAAGACATCCCAACAACAAGAGTTCCTTGCAATGCGGACAGTTTCAGTTATACTAATAAATGGGAATCGTAGAATGACAGTGAATGCTTTATTAGATGATGCTAGTACGAAGACGTATATAAACGCTGATGTAGCCTGCTGAGTTTGGACTTCAAGGAAAACTTCAGAGGACCAACGTGAATGTCTTGAATGGTCAAATAGAATCATTTCTGACGATGCCTGTCGAGTTCAAACTGGAAATTCTGGATGGAAAAGTCACACTACTATCGAAGATTACACAACCGAAAAAGTAACTGGTGACATGAAGGTTGTAAATTAAGTTTTACACAATTGCGTTCAGTTTTGTTTATAATACGCCTATACGCTTGTGGATAGGCAAACAATGGTGGTTTGTGTTCCGCTGTCTAACCCTCGAAAAGCTAAATGAAGTATGGCATGCAATTCTTACTTTTGATAGCTACAATTCGTAAATTTGTAGTTGCTTCTCGTCTAGTGGCCAAGCTTTTTCTAACCAGTAATTTCCCCTCCATTTTGCTATACGACAATGCCACCAACTCTGCATATAGCTCCTTTGCAGCAAACATAGAGCAACTACTACACCTTTAGCCTGGCCTCACGGCTCCCCTCTTATTTCAGGTCTGGCTACGTCCCTGTTATTGTGTGACTGTTATTGCTATAATTAACCGTTATTCAGCGAAATCGAGTCGTGTATGAGCTGATAGCCGAAAAGGTGCGGACCACCGAGTTGGCTAACTGATGATATACGACGAGAATGAATCATTCACAACTTTGTATATGGCAATATTTTCACAGTTAATTTAGCAATTCACACAACTTGACCTTGTTTTTAGTTCAGTTTAACATAGTTTCTTCAAGGCCGACTTCGGTAGTGGTGACTTCCAATACACTTGTCCTCGTGTTTCTTGCGAGCAAAGCGCATGACTTGTTGTTAGTATCGGTATTGGTAGCGGAAGTTGAACTTAAACTCTCTAATATGGCGTTTAAAAGTTCCCAAGCTAACAGTCATATAAACTTAACAATTTTAAGCGAAGGCCCTTCGACTTCGTCTGGAAGTTGGTAGCGTAAGAGATACCATGCACGAGAAACATCGCAACTAACTTCCACGAAGAATGGCCGTGTCCTCGAAACGTCGATCTCAACTGCCATGCCGGATTTTAAAGCAAATTCAAAATCGTAATTTCGTTTTGCACATTATGTGAAAGACGTCGTTAACAGCCTGACGCAACTATATGCGATAACAACATTGCAGTTTGAGATAACTTTTCGTGTCGTACATACAGGGGCGTAAGAACGGGGGGGGGGGCAAGGGGGACAAGGCCCCCTAAGTTTTCAGAAAACACAAAAAGTGCCATTTCTCCGTTGGCAAAGTGCCCTTTGCCTTCGTGAAATATGTTGTTCAGATTGTATTTTGTATGATTGCAGTTACACTCCTCCCCGTCACGAACATTTCGGGAAAAAATTTTCAGGTGCCCTTTTCATTCCAAAAGTGTCCCTCAAGCTGCCCCTCCCAATCTTTCGACGCTTCCGATGCTCTTGCATACATATTTCAACATTCAGGTAAGTACTAAATTATTTATGTATAGCCTGCGAACAGGCTCTCAAGCTGAATTGAGAGCCTGCATCGATGACTAATGAATTTGAATATCTGCGTCTCAAATCGTGACGCGAAATTCTCATTGGTCAGATGCTATAATTTATATGTTTCCGCTGAGCTCTATATATGTCAACTGCTAAAGCACTATGCATAAAAAACACATTAACTGATCAAATTGGTCTTGGCCATCTTATCTCAAAGCACGAAATGTTCTGTTTTGAGAAAACAGTATTTAAAACATTTAAACTTTTGCTTGAATATCTTATATTTCGAAAAACAGTATAAACTGTACGATCTAAATTTAGTTTGCACGGTCTAAATTTAGTTTGCACGAAAGTTGTAAACAACACCATATAAGGATAGACATTCCATATTTGGAAAAACGAACGTTACAGGGCAGATATTCAAATCATTAGTCATCGATGCAGGCTCTCAATTCAGCTTGAGAGCCTGTTCGCAGGCTAGTCATTAACATTCGGCAAAACCTGCAATCGGCCTGATTAATCGTTGTGTGTAAATGTAACTTTGGCTAGATAACAGGCTCGAAAACTGATATCTCACAAGAATGAGGCTCTATAGTCAAGGCTAAATACTTTCCTATTGAATTGCTATATTTACTATTTTTTAAATATCAGAAATTTCCTTATGGTGGATTCTTGTTAGCCCACACAGAAAGTTAATATAGGCTTATAGGCTTGTGTGTAAGCTAGCAGGAATCACAGGACTGTACAAATATCGACGAAATTCGAACAATTATTCCTTTGAAGTACTATAAAACACTAATTACTTAGTATACAATCAATATTTTAAAAGGTTTACCACTTTTTAGAAAAGTAATAACTGGCTATCAATATAAGCCATTACGTGAAGTAAAACTGTTTAAAATATTGCAACGAAAATGCTTTACATACTTTCAAATATTGACCCGACGAAAATATGTCAACTTTATTTGACGCGACGCCTTTCAAGGGTACGTCAATAAACACAGCCGATTCTGTCTCTTCCCAAGTAAAATCCTTGACAAGAATAGGCATGGTGAAAGAATAATTACACTATTACTCTGTCTCTTAATATTGGCCAGAAACGATGCTTGAAATAGAACGATATTCCATTATTAAGAAGGGAATGTGAAAATTTGCAAGAATTGTCCGCCATCTTGGATACGAAGAAACTGGACGCTACCGGAAATCTGGAATATTGCCATGGTTTGCTAATTGCTATGGTTACAAATTCAATCAATCAATAATCACTTAATAATCAAACAATCATTCAATCGATATATTAAAAAATGATTGTTAATTAGAAATCCATCAGCCCATCAATTCATAAAAATTAAACTAATTTCATCACAGCCATTGGCCGTATATTAGAAGACATCTTTACATGTGACGTCGGAGGTATGGTCTCAGACGGCCAATAATCAATTACTTAATCAATATGATCAATACATCGATCAATCCATTGGTCAATAATTCGACAAACTCATTATTCAATAGAATTATCGCTGTTTATTTTCTATATATCTTTCGCCTTGGAAGCATATGGGCATGAGTCGGGCATGACTTGCACGATTCATTCCGCTATAGTAATCTATATAGTTTTGCCCGAGGATTTTTATGTGATTTCTTATTCGGTTATTCCCCATATTACACATAGTCGATAACCCAGAAAAAAGTCGTGTTTCATCGTTCCTCGTTACACTTTCTTTTTACTTTTCATTTTCTTCTTTTTCTTCGAAACGACTTTCTCATTGTCCAGGGTTCCGCCATTTTGAAGTTCATTTTTGGGAGTTTCATTTGACGTTGCACCTTCACTAAGCTTTCGTTTTCTTTTCTTTTTCGACTTCTTTTCCGTGTTTCCCTCATTGGCTGTCCTAAATGAACAGCGAGAGTAATTTTTACATGTGCATAAATGCAATAAGCAGAACGTGAAGCATACGGCAGAACTAACTTATCACCCACGCAGACGAGCTAGTGGTAAGCGTAGCTAATTTGTCTGTGCAGGAATACGGCAATAAATGCAATATAAAAAAATACCAGTGGCAGGCATGTCTTTCCCTTAGAATCGTTGCCTGTACAGAACGAGCTATTCTAGCGATAGTTTGTCTGGATATAGTTCATATAGTTCAAAAAGTGTCATGGATAATCCATCAGCATGGGTAATACTGACGAATTAATCATCAGCCTCTAGTTGAGGGTCCTGAAGGGGGTAAAATGGGAACTGGGATTTGCTTATTTTTGAGTGGGAAAATGGCAGTTTCATGCACTGGGACTGGGATTCATCAGCAAAAAAAAACAATAGAAAATGGGAATGGGGTTAAGATTTGAGCAGGATAGCCACTGAGATGATGGGATTTGTGCTCTGGGACAATGGGATTTAGTCAAAATTTGGGCTGGGAATTGGGAATACGACCCCCCCCCCCTCTTCAGGACCCTCTCTAGCTTGAACTGAGCTTTTATCCCTTTGTTTATATACTGATGAAATACCGAAATAGTACCAACATATACGTACCCGGTTATTTCAGCTTTCAAACGACTTATCAAATTCCTTAAATCATTTGCTCTTTCTGCTGTCTTGCTTTCCAAGGCGATATTTAGTGACTCCTCTAACCGTTGTGAATCCAGCAACGACCATAACTAAATACCAAAATGAAATTTTCATGGAAGAAGCGAATGGTTTAGTATGTATATATACACAAGTATAAACATCTAAATTCATATATTTTATATATTTTACTTACAGTAGACTCTGCTTTCAAAATCTTCACAAACTGTGAAGCCAACTTTAAAATCTGTCTCAAATGCTTAGCTTTCATTTCAGAAGATGACAGTTGAGTGAATGTCTGAAAGTAGAATGACTTGTATCAGTATTTGCAAGTATAGAATACAAGCCCGTAGCTGGCTCTCATTGTCACATTAAATTTGTCACATGATTACAATTGGTTTCTAGGTCCTTTATCTCAATTTTTCATACCAAATTTCGGAGTGGGGGGGGGGGCACTGCCCCACTGAGTGGGGGGGGGGGCAATGCCCCCCCTCAGCTACGGGCCTGATATAATATGGTCCTGCAGTGCACAAAACATCGAAGTTCTGCTAAAATTTTCCAGGTATAGTTGTGTCCCTCACAATCCGAAGCAGTCTTGATAAAGAAACAGAACCTACATGCACATTCGCCCATAAGAAGACTTACCGAATGAAAAGCTTCTTGCAAAGGTTTTGCTATTGTTTTTAAACTCTCATTTTGACAGTGAACCTAAAATGAAAATAGGCTTTTTTATGGCGTTTTGATGGAAAAGTGGTCAGAAAAGTCCGGTGAGTGATTTTACGAGAACTCATGCGTTTTGTCGAAGACGTATTGAACCGTGTATAGCACCTTAAAACCTTTACCTTCCTATTTAAAAGCTGAGATAGCATCGTACACGCTTGTATCTGAAAGAATATATGAAGATATTTACATACAATTGAAGAAAGCAATTTATACTACTTTTTATTCTGTTAAACTCTCGTTTCTTCATTGTTGATAACTGACTTATTTACCTTCCTGAAGTTGTTTATTCCTTTGGTAATGTATGTGACCAAGTCTTCGGCCAAACTCCAGCCAACAATCTGTAATCATAGAGAGAAAAAACAGACCATTGATACTCCAGTAGAAACGTTAGTACTTCTAATATCCATTGGAAAGTGGCAGTGATTACTACATCAATTCTATACTACTCTCCTTCCTCCACCCTGAGCTTCCAAACAAAGTTACTATATATATCTCAACCTGGTCTACTTTATAGCCTGGTTAGTTTCGAAAACGATGTGCTACTTCGTAAAACTGATTTAGTTATTTGCCATCTCAAATCTTGAAGTTACCTTGTTGAAGAATGAAAGTAGTGATACATTATAATTTGGTAACATTATAATTTGGTTTGCTATCTAATCAATATTTAACACCATTCGACCGCAATTATAGATTCCCGCCAAATATGACGGGAAGATTAAATATTAAAGAACTCCGCCAGTACTTGCAGTAGAAATATGAAAATACCACCAAAACATTCCGCTTGAAAAATACTATATACTCGAACAATGTAAAATAGCGATAAAATAAAAACTAGCCATACGCATACTCGAACAATGTAAACTAGCCATACAATACCTATATACAATATACTCGGACAACGTAATGTATATCACCTTTTGCCGAATATAATTTCGGCCTCTTTCAACGTATCTTTTTCGTATTAGTCTTAAGGCTGATTTCCACTGTTGCGTTTTTCGTACGCACGTAAAACTTTGAATCCTTCTTTTTTTTAAATATTTTACAAATAAATTAACAAATGCATACTAAAACTTGCGGAACATTAAATTCTGTTGCTTTATTTATTTGGTTATTTCACAAGTAACATTTAAACGGATTTAAAGTTTTACGTGCGTATACGTGCGTATGAAAAACGCAACAATGGAAATCAGCCTTTATTCGAATCACAATCCAAGATACTATTTAGAGTGTTATTTTCAAGCATGTAGATTTGCATCTTTTATTTCGGTATTTCAAAATATATAAATTTTACGCGAGGGCTTCGACCGGAAGTTCAAGTTCAAATAAGAGGCGGACCATTAGAAATCCCGGGGAGGGGGTATAAAATTTTTGCGGCACGACGTTTTTTTCAGTCTCATGTCTCTGCAGGATTTTTTTTATACATTTAACCTCTGCAAGAATTTTTTCAAGACTATTTACACTTTAATTTGCTGTTTGCTTGCACGAATTTTTTTCTCTGACGTATAAAATGGATTCATTATTCATTCATTCAACCGACACATCAGACAACAAAAAAGCAAACAATTAAAAAACAACAAACTCAAAACCGATTAAGAATACACCCGGATTTAAACCCTTCCATAAATTATTTAATGTTATACAAAAAAAGAATTAAATAAAAAAAACTCAAAACCGATTAAGAATACACCCGGATTCAAATGCATGAAAGTTATGAATTATTAAATGTTATACAGGGTAACAGGGAAAAAAATGCAATAGATTTGTACCAGATTTTTACACAGATAATCTAAGAGATGGCTATTAAAAGTAAGAGGTCATCAAACCTATTAATACTTTACCAAACTGATGCAATTTCAATGGTCCATTGGGTGAACCAGACTTTATTTTAAAACAATAACATTGGTTCTACTAGACTGATTTTAATAATCTTAGTGTCAAAATTAATCTTTCACATTAAATTTTAGATGCCAACTAATAATAGGCGGTGTAAAAATCTGGAACATTTACCTGCTTCATTTTTTCCGGAACACACAGTATTCTTATATCTTCTAAAATCATGAATAACCCCAAGAAAATTTACGCCCAATTAAACGTCCAAGGTTACGTCACGTGGGAACCCTTGACTATGAAGGAAATTTTTTACCGATTTTGACCCATAATAAAAACTGATGATTTGCATATTTTCATCTTTTAACAAATAACTATAATGAAAATTGAATGGACCAGTCAATAATCGCAACTGTGCTAAACTAAATAACACGTTCTGTTTCGGTATAAAATTGCAGTTTAAATGACAACATGTAGTTGAGGATGAGAGATTTGAAATATGCGTGTCAAAGTATTCAATTGTTCAACATCCGTCCATGCTTTACGTAATATTTCAAATCCGACGACTATATGAGGACTGGACTAGATTTCAAGTCCGCGTAATTTGATGCGAGGAAATCTAGTCCAGTCCGAATTGGAGGATTTGAAATTACATCTCATACGAATAAATCACTACTAAATTAAAGCGTGATTTTGATCCAGTCCAAGAACTGAATTAATTCTCATCCAGTCCTAGAACCGGATCAATATTCTTCACTAGATATTCAGTATTATCATGTGAGCAAAATAAAGTAATATGGTTGGCCAATAGACATTTCCCCTTATAACCAAAATTTTGATCTAGGCAAGTCTAGACAAATATTTCATTCACAGCTTGAAAGAGCATCACAAAATTAGTAATATTCCAAAGTTTCGTTGCGAAATGTTGTAAAATGAGGAAAATATAGCCTTGCGAAATTTGCAATTTTCAGTCATTTTGCATTACAAACGGGAAATTGCAGCCCCAACACCCGAATCGGATGTCAATTTCCCACATTTTACAAGATTTTGCAACAAAACTTTGGAATATTACTAATTTTGTGATGCTCTTTCAAGCTGTGATGAAATTTTTGTCTAGATCGAAATTTTAGTTATAAGGGGAAAGGTCCATTTACCGTCATGAATTATTAATAAGTTTGAGAAGTAATATTTCAAATCCGACTATGAGGACTGGACTAGATTTCAAGTCCGTGCAATTTGATCAAGTCCGAGGCGAAGCTGTATTATCCAGTATTATCAAGTGAGCAAAATAAAGTAATATGGTTGGCCAATTTACCGTCATGAATTATTAATGAGTTTGAGATATATATTGCCGTATAGCAGAACTGCATGCATGCAAGTTAATTTGAGTATGCAAATTAATGTTGCTCAGAGGAAAACCCAATTATATATAGACTATTTCACTTAAGCGCACTTTATTTTGCTCATTTTAAAAAGAACAACACGATGATTGAACGGTTGAATATTTTGATACCCCTATTTTAAATCTGGCAGTCTCAGCTATATAGTAGCCCGCGTGCAGCCTGACTCCCCCCCCCCCCCCCTTCCCCATCGAAAAGTCAGGCTACTATATACATGTTGTGCTTCAACTGCAATTTTATCCCGACGTAGAGAGCGTCATTTAGAGTGCGCAGTTTGCACCACGAAATGATTTAGTACTCTGACATCCATTGCTCATACTCGGTAAATTGTCCAGGCATTGTAGAAATATGTAGCAGAATGGAAGCGGAAGAAAATCACCATTGGTTTTACAATTGTACCATACGTTTCTATTCCTTCGATTGTTTCGACTTCACCAGGCCTTGCCAATTCAGGCTTCAAATAAAACGAGTCTTCAATCCACCAGGCAAGATTGGTTAAGAGCAAGAATAGGATACACTCGCATATCCAAGCTTTATTCCGATGACTAGCGCCCTCACGATAATGACTTAAGCTCATGAGCGTGACGGCTTGGGTCAAATGCTGAACAGTGCCGCAAATATCAACAGCCACGAGATAAGGGTATTTTCGTCCTGTTATTATTTTGCTTGTAAGATGAAATCCTTCTAAAAGAAGAATTCCCATTAGCGAAATATACAACAGGACATCATCGTAGTCAATAGAACGGATTCGCTGTGGATTGTTTGGTGATCTGAGAGAAGCAAGGATAATGTAGCACGCACAAATCATAGTTAAGTACATTACGACTGATCCGTAGCAATAATATTTAAATCTTGAAAGTGTATCATAATTTGTACTATCATCGCTATAATCATTAGCCTCATATATTGCCAACAGCATGAGAACCAAAAACACGGCAACATAAGTCATTCCAATCATTATTCCGAAGCCGCAGCGAGGTATATACCGCTCTCGACGTGAGGTGGTTGCATCATTACTTTGCTCTTCATGGACAGGATTTTGACTACGGTAAAGACAACTCGCACAATTCTTGCAGAAGCGGCAAAACCGTTCCTCCTCCGCCTTCCTTAAATTCATCCAGAGCCCATAGAGTATGGATAATGCAAGGATGAGATATTCGACAAAAATAGGGTAGAAGTATTTCTTATAGACACGCCAATTCAAGCTTGTTGAACTTTTGCAATATGAAATAAGTCGAGGCTCTGCTTCTTCGCAAAGTGTCCAAAACCAAAGCGCTAAGTTAGTGCCCAAAATATGTGCGAGAGAAATCTGCAGAAATGCGGTGTCCACCGGAAAACATGCTTTATGAAAGTAACCAAGAAACAGCGTTTCCGCAGCGACAAACAACGCTTTTACAAATTGCGCAGTTGCCGCAATTTTGTTCCCAGTTTCATCTTTATTGTTTGAAGGATGGCAACTCCATTCATCATACGCAAGAAAAATGCTGTTCATTATGCTCAGAAAACCAAAGACGTACAGTCCGCCGCGAAAAAGTATTCGTACTGGCGCATCATGGCAAGGGTCGTGGCGAACTCGATCTTTTGTAAATAAGTAGAGGTAGAGCATCGCAGGGATAGCTAAGGCCATGCAAACAGCAACAAAAGTATCTCGCCTGTTGTTTGAATATTCCAATCTTATCAAGTTCAACACAAATGTATAACACATCAGCAGGAATAGGTAACACACGGATGCATGATCGGGGATTGTGATATTATTGTGAGGTGACGCAGCTCTTCTGATAACGCGTACAGGTAGACAGACGAGGGATAAGATTGCATCTAACTTGCTCCAACAATCTCGTGCGCGCCACAAATCACGAACATTTCCCCAAGCGTCGCACCACTCGGAAAGTAGATGCATATACCATGGATCGGCTGGTACCATCTCCTCAATCGGTGTCGTCGTTCGAACTGGGAGAACATCGTTGTCGAAATTGGATTGGTCTATCTCTGTGACTGAAGTTAGTGCGCTGGATATTCCAGAACTGCGTGCTGTAACTCCTGTTGTGCTTATTCTGCTACTACCTTCCATCTTTTAAAGACGACAAAAAATCACAATGTTCACAATGCAATAGTCCAAATGGAATACTGTTCCTGGAAAACGCAAGGCTTTTTCCTCCTAATCCAAATCACGAGATCAAGCAATTAAAATTCCTTTCTCTGGTACCAAGGTCGAATAAACTACCAAGAATTGGCTACGTACTCTATGTGGCATTTGTATTTAGGTAATTCAGTGGTAACGTGCCATCAATACCTTGCCCTTCGTTAATACTCGTTTATGGATAGTATATCTTTTCATATACATTCAACACAATGCAATCTACACATTAAATAAGTATATGTATCTATATCACTATATGAGGCCCTGTCTGTGCATGTCACTCGTCTGATTTTCAAAACATATGTCGCCGCTTGAAAACATTGCTATGTCGCTTTCGGAATTATGCTATCGTTTTCCTCCCTTTTCATGTCGCTTTACACAGAGTTTGTGTCCAAATTCGCTTTTTTATTTTCTATATGTCGTCATTTCAAGGAAATGTCGCCTTGTTCTTGAGACATAAATGTGTCAATGAAGACGATCATATTACATGCGTGTATACAATTATTCAAGAAATGATAATTTTTGTGGGTAGCCGCGCATGCGCAGCTAACCACTATGTGAGAGACTGAAGCGCGATCTTCCGTTTCTCTGTGGCTCTGTGGCGCTGTAGCCTTCGTGTCCGCGGTGTCCTGCTGCGCGGTTCCTTTTATCCTTGAAATACGAACCGTCTATAGACCACAGGCTAAGTTCACTAACACTAACGCTCATACCGTACAGAGATGTGTATAAATTCTTAGTAAAGTCTTTATTGTAATATGTTTTGTCAGGTCGATAGTCATTTCCAACGCATATAGAATCGAATATGTCGTTGTTTTTATAATCACTGCTTGTACAAGGGTCATTGGGGTTAATATTAGCGCAAGGGGTCTGTTTTATATCGTGTAATGTCATATTTAAACACGACATATCAGTTTGATCAAACATTTTATACGTATTAGAAAAATATAGCAATTAGTGATATAGCGCGCGACGTTTGGACATATTTACGTTAGTCTATATCGAAGGAATGTTGACGAATGACGAACATATAGGTATATAGAATCGAGTATGTCGTTGCTTACAAAATGTTTGTAAGGCCACGTCATTGGAATCGGGTTAGTCGAATGTGTATTAAGTTAAGGCAAATAGAAAGCCAAGCACGGTTTACACAAGGATTAAATTAGGCAGTGGAATATTAGCGCTTTTTTACTTAGGGATATATTTGTCGAATATTGAAAGCAAATTGAATGTCATTACCAATATATATGAGATCGATTATGTCGTTGTTTAAATAATTCAATCATCACTGTACTAAATAAATATATGTTGATCTTTTTCAAACTCCGCCGGAAAACATCGTCCTTAGATCTTTGCATGGACTATCCTTGAAACTCAAACTTCACGAAAATTGTATATACGCAGCCTGTAAACCTGATGCTTTGTCTTTGATGTATGCTGTCCTTGAACAAGAACTGTTCTCCG